CTTACCATCTGCCAAAGAGAGAACTGCGAGTAGGGCCAGGAAGAGCCAGCGGTTTCCCCTGGGACTCGGCCACGGCGGCTGTTGCTGTGTCATAATTCGGACAACCAGGTTAAGTTGCCTCTGGAGCTCCACAGGTAGCAGGCGGCTTGACCTACATTCCAGGGTTTACCCGAAAAAAAAATAAAATAATAACAAGCGGAGACAGCAAATTGGAGAGTCATTATTTTGTGGAACGAGTTTTATTACGGCGCTTTTTTGTATAAGTAAGTAAGAGTATGTGCAGTGGCTCATCAACGTTTTTGGTTTGTTTTGGTTTTTAGTATGCAGTTTCTTTTTCTTTCTTTTGATTTATGGCTAGTACCATTAACATTTATGTAATGCAGAGGACAGGCTCATAAATAAACTGGCTGTTGGTATAACTTTTAAATACTTCACTGTGGAGTTGGTTACTACTCGTAGTCTAAGAGACAAAAGTTCGACATTTTCGTGAAACCTATAGATGTTGGAAAGCAATCGTTGGTATAGCAAAAAGAGGTTAATGTTTAATAAATATTTTTGTATCCAACAAAATACCCCATGCCCATCACATTTCAAAAGTCAAAAGTCCATGTCCTGCATTATTACATTTGATGCCATGATTGCGAGTACCAATCTTGTTGTGTCCACATCCTACTCATTCATTCAGCCATGAAGGTATCTCCACTGGACAGCCCATAAATTTCCCTCTGGCTTTTGTCGCATTATGTTGCCTGGCCACAAATCCTATGGCAGCAGTCATTTCCATACCCCAATTTCATGCCCCAACCCCAACCCCAATCCCGACACCGACACCGACCCCAACCACACCCCTTAAACACTTGACCTTTCCGATTGCTCGTCACTGGGGGGGATACAAAATCTAAATTTCAATTTGTGTGCGGGTGTTTGCCGCTTTCATCAACATTTGACAGCACTTAAAATCTCGTTAGCTGTAAATGGCAGACATGTTTGAACACCCACAACAACAGCAGCAATATCAGGAGCAGCAGCAGCAGCAGCAGCAGCAACATCAACAACAGCAGCAACAAACATGAGCAACATCATCAGCAAAGTCAGCGGCAATCGGGAAACTGTCACCTCCCGATGCATGTGGCATTAGATGGAATTGTTGCAGCGCATTTATTGAGATAGACATTTGTACATACATTTGTAGCTCCCTATTCCCAGGGACTTTATATCGAGAGTTGTTTGTTTAAAGCGTCGTCAAATATCACAGTCCCAGAGCTTTTACATCGTTTATTTACTGTTTTTCTGCTGAGATGGCCTTATCAAACTGCCTTATCAGCATCTGTCGGCAAGATGTGATTTGATGAATCCCTCACATATTTGCTGCCGTAGTTTTTATTTATTTTGTTTTGAACACTTGATTATCAAGCTGTTGTTGAAGGAAATGACTTTATCAGTGTGAACTACATAACGAGTTAAGCACGCAGTATAAATACTCAGTGTAAATACACAGGATTAAGGGAAGGCAATGTTAAATTAAGTAAAAGCTTAGATAAGGTTGTAAAAGGTATAGAATACTAAATACTGTAACTCAGCCTATAAGAAAAGGCTTAGTACCAATGGCAATTTGTATGCTAACCAATTCATAATGAAGGGGAAACTATCATTTTTGTTTTTGGCTATGTAGGTAAATCTATATGTAGTAAAAATCTATATTGCTTGTTTTTTCAAGCCAATTTTGTAAACTGCTTTTGCCATGACTAAAATTGACATTAAAAGATTATTATGCATTTTTTTTAATAATGTTTTGTGTCTTTGACCCTGACTCATCTTCAGACATCCAATTGATGGTTTACCCATTCAACGGCTATCACATGACACGATATAAAATAGCAGTCAAGTGCGAGTAAGCAAAACAACTAAAGCAAATTGATTTGTTTATGGTGGCGGCGGGCCTTAGGAGTGTGTTTTCGTGTTTTGAGTTTTGTTGGATTGTCGGTTTGCTGGGGGGCACATTATGCAGCGGGCTCAATGCCATCCAATTGGCATAGCCCCGCCAAATCGGCCGACAATGCCCCATCTATAAGCCAGGCACTCAGACAAAAGTGTCGCGCGAAGGTACATTGGCCTCCCGGGAGTGAAATCGTCGCCGTCTTGTATTATTTTCAGGGGGGGTACAAAACTTTTTATTTGCCTTCGTCATTCGAGCGAAAATCGAAAGTGTCTGCTCTAGGGCGAAGTTGGGTTCAAGTAAAAATGCATTATTAACACATTTGATGGCGGGGCAGCAAACTCGTTTCGCGGACAAGGTTAACCGAGGACAACACTAATTTCCAGCTGAATGCAGGTCAAGTTACAGCCATCAAAAGCGCCTGAACCCAGCGACATAACAAAACTATCAAAAGTTAAGCTTTCGTTAGACCGGTTTTTTAGCGTGTATAGTTTACACCTGCAGCACGTGGTCAGAAAAATGGATTTTTGGCACACACACACACACACATCATCTTGATGCGACGGTTCTGTTCAGCTTTCTCATTCAAAATATGTTTAAGTCGCATTCATTCAGGGCACGATTACTCCCAAAAAAAAAAAAAAAAAACAAAAAAGGGCCTCTTAACAACGCAACGGTAAGTCGGGAAAAAAATGTATACGCACCCCGAAAAACTTTCACTTTCTTTAGAAATTATTTTTGATAATATAATTTCTTCTTTCCCTCGCCTTTGTTATTTTGGGTGGCCGAACATGAAAACGCTCTGGCATGTGCTAAATGGAGTGGGTCGTCCCACACCCAAGCACACAAGAAATATACACACAAAATATACAGCTTAAGTCATTCCATCCAACAATCTTGTTGGCTTTGCTTTGTTTTTAGTGTCTATTGTATAACGCTGCAGTCGCAGTCGCGGTCACGCTGCATGTAATGTTTTAATGAACATTTCTGGTTTTATAATAATTAGGAAAGAGATGGGAGAGCGCCAGATGAAAACGAAAGTGAGTTTCTTTTCTTTTCCCAGCCGCAAATTGGTCTATGGAAATTTTGGTGAGCTATTTACGCCGAGTGATCGATAGTTTTTAATTGATTTCATAAAAGAAAGCTTCGAACGCGAGAATGCGGGTAAGAATTAACCCATTTTACACGTGCTATCACGTTTACAAATAAACACACGTTGACTTATGGTTTATTTAAGGCACGTAAAGATTAGAAAAGTAAATTATTCCAATCTTCCTCTTTAAAGAGTTTTCGAGCTTCCATCGTCGCCAGCAATTTAATATTCATGGTCAATCTTGGGCAGTGCGTGTGCCTTATTTGCCATTCGTATGTACGAGATGGCCAGTGGCCAATGGCCAATGGAACAGCCTCGTCATGACCAAATACTGGCCTATTTATTTGTTTTTGTGGCCCGAGTGTTTTGGTTAGCGGGGGCTAATTAAACATGCAGCCAAATAGCCATATAGCCATATAGCCACTCATCGTACCTCAAAATACCTCAAATACAGCGAACTGCACGCAAATAGAAACGGAAAATAGAATGCCAAACGAAAGCGTAAAGCTGCGTAACCAGAAGATTGAATTGGGACTGACTATACATTCATATATAGATACTGACGCCTTAGAATGGGCCGCGAAAAGTGAAACATCGTGGAGATTTTGCAAGACGGTCTGCGCATGCGTGACAAGGTAGTATATCTTACAAAGTGAAATGCGCAAACGTGTTTTTCCTGACGCCGCGTTGCTTCTGACGAAATGTGTAACAGTAAATAGTAAACAGTAAGGAAAAACTAAAAAAGAGTAACCAACTCAACAGGTTTCGGATCAAACCGAACCAAAACATTGACAAAAGCCGCAGACTTTGCATGGATTGTAGTAGTAGTTACCTGTCCCGAAAACTGCACAATCAACGAACTTTCGTTCTTGACCCGCCTTTGTTCTTTCGGTTTATGTTTTCTGTTTTCTTTCTTGCTTCCTTTCTTCCTTTCCTTTTTTATGTTTTTTCTCTGTTGTTTGCCACTTTTTCTTTCTTATAGTTAAACACTATTTATAGACATTAAAGTGCCATAATTCGCAGCTCTGCCTCGCCGATTGGCCTCAATTATTTGCGATTCATTTGTTTGGCTCACGATTTTCTACAATCGCTCAATGCGATCCGAACTTATTTCTTTTTTGGCATGCACTCCACACTTGTCGTTTCTTCTTCAGCCGAAGATTTCACCCGCCGCACAGCGTTCATTCGCGTTTTCCCCGCTGATTAAATTCAACCGCTCGCCGCGAACCGCCAACAATGAATGGCTAAAATCGCAGGCTACCGACCACAGTGCACAGCTTTTGAGTCGAGCTTTGAGCTCTGCAGCTGATAAAAGTTCATGGCTCTCGCCGGAGAAAAGAAGAGAGAGTACTGTTCAGATCCGAATGAACAAACGGAGAGAGCTTTCGCCATATAGCTAAGGTCTGTGGCGTGCCCAACTTTTGTCAATTAATATGATTCAGCCTTATCGCTCTTTAAAATTGGCCAACTATTGTTCCGAAACGGAAGTATCTAGTATTGAATGTTTGATATAGATCACGATGCATTGTTTCGGCCACGATCGGCTGACTTTTTAATGTGTGTGCTTAATTAAAAGCATTGTTCATTTGAATTCGTTTTAATTATTAGACTTTTTTTGGCTATACTCGTGTAGAAGCTAGTTGAACTGGGTATATATTTCTAGTATTTGTCATTAAATACAATTGTTAATTTTGTATAATGAACAAAATATAGAAATATATTTTAATTTAAGAATATATTTTTTATGACCTTTTTTTTCTAAGAATTAGTTTTGGTGAGAATTCGTCAAAATTGTATTATTGGTGTTAACGCTCAAAAGCTGTTTATATACATTTGATAATGTGTATACTTTTAGAGTTCTTTTATCGAAAATATTATTTTTTTATTAAGCAATTATGTATAATTGAATAAAATTTAAACAAAATATATAGTATATATACTGTAGGAAATAAAGTTTATAATAAGCTGAATAAGTGCATTTGGTTGTACATAAACACAATTTAATTGTGGCCACTTTGCTTTTGGTTTTTCAAATGTTTCAAATTGGGCTTCAGTTTTTGCTGCGATAATAACTTAGACCTTCTCTGATCTTGATTATGCTAAGTGTTAATGGTTAGTTAGTTGCCAACACCCATTCGCTTTTTTCCTCGTTTTTACACGTTTAATGAGGTACATAATATGTGCGCTCATATGTGTATCTATAGGTGATATACCCACCGTGACAAGTCGCTTTTTGCGGGGCTGGATCCATCAATCAAGTTCTGCTAACCGTTGGCTCCCGTATCCGACAAAACGACAAACCGACAATCCGAGTGATTTATTAGCATACGGTGGCCTATCAGGCGGAGGACTCGATTGACGCACTCGACGAGTCATCGCACTGCTTGTAGATGGTGAACACTTCCCGCTTGAAGGTCAGGAATCGCCGCAGGCTACTCGGATCCGGCTGCACTTCGCCGGAGATTTGATCTGGCTGCTCCACATCCCGGATTACATTGTTGGTGGGTGGTGGCACATCCCGGCGGGTTGGATGGCATCGCCAGGTGAAAGTGGGCGGACGCAAGCCGCAGCAGCACCTGCTTTTGTCCATTTGATCCTCGGGCATGGTGTTCTGAACTTCACCAGTGCCACAGCCAAAGAAACGGCGAACTTTCTGCTTCACCAGCGACACTGTGCGTATGGTTTGGGTGAGGAAGGTGTAAAAAATCGGATTCAATGCACAACTAAACAAGTTTAGTATGCCAAAGCTGAAGTACAGCAGCCAGTCGATGGGCTCCGAGTAGGAGCCATAGAGCCGCATGATCAGGAACACCCAGGCGGGCAGTCGCAGGCAGATGAAGACGGCCATCATGAGGAGCACCACCACTACCATCCTCCGATGTCTGGCCTCCCTGGCCAAGGCAGTAGCTGTGCTCCTCTTTACATTCACAGGAGTTATGGGAGTCTTGGGCGGCAGCGTGCTCTTCTCCAGCGCAAATGGCAGGTCCACACCCACGGCACTGACCAGGGTGGTGGGCATCAGGAGGTCTCCATTCACATGTCCCATGGACTTGAACTGACCCTCCTTGGGCTCCTGCTCCCGGACATGCTGCTCCTGGTGGAAGTGCCGTCGCAGCCACAGCTGCCTGGCAATCGTGGCATTCAGCCAGAGAAAGGACACTATGCAGGGCAGAAAAATCAGGGTGAACAGTATGACGTAGTAGAGTCCAACATCGTGCTGAAAACGGGATATTTATAGAACTGCATTAATTGTTTTCCACACACACACACACAGCTGATAAGATTAGGAGAACATTAATTCAGCAAGTCAATCCCCCCCTTAATCGCTGTCAGCTATTAAGTGATAAACTAGTCATTGACTCACGTCCCCGGCCACACACATATGGGCCATTTCCAGCTCGGTGACCATCAGTTCCTCCGGCACTGGGGTGTTCCCCTGCTCCCCACTCTCCTCCGACGAGTCCTCCACGTCCAGCAGGAAGATCACCTTGTACGCGTAGATCCCCAACAGCGGACCAGATGACCCGATCGCACAGGCCCAAATGAGCAGCATGCTCAGGCTGCTGAAGCGGATGTCGGGGCTCCAGAAGCCCAGCACGGGTCGCATCACGGCCAGGTAGCGATCCAGGGCGATGGCCACCAGGGTCAGACTGCCGGACAACACCGATGTGGTGGTTATGAAGGGCACGAACTTGCACATAAAGCCGCCAATGGTCTGGAAAGATTAATGTTTACTTTGTTGTGGAAGTCGAGTATTTACAAAAAAAAAACAAACAATAAATAAACATTACATTACTTTTTTACATTTTTAATAAATAAGCAATCCTTAACTGTACAAAATATTTATTTTTTATTTCTTTTATTTTTTATATTCCTACTCATCTCGCTCATTTATTTGCAAATCAGTTTATATGTCCTAAAAATCTCTCTTTAAAAAAATGTACGAAATATATAAATTCAATAAAAAAGTTAAGGATATTTATTTCATAAAAGTTTAATTTTAAGAGCTATGTTATAACATTTATAATTGGAACATAGATTTGTTGTTATGGCTAGGACTCATATCAACCAATCTCTGTTCAAACTAGAAAGGTTATAACATAGCTCTTAAAATTAAACCATTATATAGATAAATATACTTGATATACAGATCACACTTAGTTAACCATGTTTTTTCCACTCACCCAAAGCTGCAGATACTCTGCGTTGAACTGTGCCATGTAGGACACGGTGCAGAAGACAGTGGATACGAGGTCACTGCAGGCCAGGGAAATCAGGCAGGCTCGGAAGAAGGGTCGCAGCTTCCGGCGGGAGTTGACGTACAGGGTGCTCAGATTGCCGATAAAGGCCAGTAGGAACAGAGTGCCCACCACGGCGGAGAAGGAGTTCCGCTTGAGGCGGTTCAGCTGGCTGAGATCCGCGACAAAGACGCCCGGATATGGGGGATACTTGGGGAACTGGGCAGCCGAACTCGGGGTGGCCTCGCCATGCTGGGCAAAGGCCCACTCTAAGTACAGCTCGAGCTGGTCAAAAGTGTAGTGGAGCAGGGCCATTTCCAGCTCTTGGCCCGAAAGTATGCCGCGTTAAGAGGTCCGGAGCTGAAAGCTTCCGCGAACAGACTGCCGACTGATTTATGGCCAGCGGCTGCCGATGGGTTTAATGCCTCACTATCGCCGGCCGCTTATCGTTCAGATGGCTATCCACTGTCGTCATTATGCGCATTGCGCACCTCGTTGCACACGCCATCATGACGATGATAAGGATGATTTCAGTGGTAATCACTCATCCATTCATGCCCCAAAAGCTTTTCGCGCGAGTAAAACACCTTGCGAAAATCACATTTTCTATGGCTGCGGTTTCACATTTATTTGCGACACTCTCCTCTCCTCATTTTTTATAGCACATTTGTTTATTGTCCTCCTTTTGGGTTGCATAAGTTCGGCTTCAAAAAATACAACGCTTTCAACGCACATATATGTATTCATAATGGTATATATCTAATGTAGGGCTAAATGTAAGCTTAATGTACAAAAGAACTTTACGGTTTACGGTTTACGGTTTACGGTTTAAACTTAACAGCAAAAGCCTATGAAAAACTAACTTTAAACTTTAAACGTTAAACTTTAAACTAGGAGTGCTAAGGCTAAAATCTAAAAAACGATTATCCGGTAAAGCAGCGTGGGAAAACCAATGAAACAGTTTATACAAACATTAACGGCTAGCTAAAAATTACAAAACTAAGCACTCGAATATACTTGGAATCAAATGGCAAATGGCAAACGGCAAACACAATCAAAAGTCACACGCACACACTCACTCGCACACACAACATTTGCCACGAACATCTGTATATATGTATATCTTTATATATATACATATACTGCATATAGTATATAGTATATGGAGCTAGGTGTATAGTCTTTTAACCAGCATAGTTTTTTGTAGGATAGTGTAGTAGTAATCGTAGTGAATAAGGTAGCTTTACAACGACGGATAGTTCAGTGTTTGTATTCGAAAATGCAGCGAAGCTTTTTGTTTGGGGGTTGTGGGGTATTACGACCAAAAACTCGTAACGCCTAGTAGAAGGACTCGTGGGATCCGTCCAGACATTGACTGGCCATGTGGAGGGTTAGAGCCTGGTAGGGCAGTGGTTTGCCCATGCTCAAGTTGGCGGTGACATAAACCAAGTAGCTGGAGCCAGGCATCAGGTTCAGAATGGTCTCCGTTTCGATGTTGTCGGGACTGTAAAATATACTCTTGTTATATATATTACTAAGTGGTCTATTCCGAAACCTACCTCTGCTGCCGCTCCCTACAAGTCATCCACTCAAAGTTCCTGTAGTGCTCCACCCGCTTGGGCACAAAGTCCATGCAGTAGTTGGTGGAGTCCACCACGCTGCGATTGCGCTGCGGCAGATTGAATACGATGATGCAGTAGCTGCAAGTTAAGGTAAAGAAAGATTTAATATATTAAATTTTTTAAGCAGTTGAATGTAATTGTTTAAATACACAGAAAAATAGTACAACTTCAAGAGTTTAAAAATATTGGACTTTAACTATTTAATTCGAGGTTTCTTTTTTACAAAATGTTTTTTAAGTATAATTTAATTTCTGTATTAAGTTAATAATTTTACTAAAAAAGCTGACATAGGAACGATCTAATAATTCATGGGAAAATCATCATAGCCTCACTGTTGTAAAATATATAAGTATAAAAATGAGAATATAAATCTTATAAAGAATACTAAAGTTTAGCAAAAGCTGCAAGGGATTATAAACTTCAGCTTGCCGAAGTTTCCTTTTTTGTAAAAGTATAACACTATTCAATGACAATTCGGATGACAATTTCAGAAAATAGAAAGGTAACAATTTTTCTATGTTGCTTTTACTTGAGTTTTAGTTCCATGTGCGGTCTTACCTCAGCTCGCGTTCATCGGGTGAGCCATTCCATGCGATGGTGGCTCGATTGCACCTCGTGCGGACATTGAAAACACTGGTGTTTTGCGGCAGCTCCGGTAAATCCCGGAACAAAGCCTCGCTGCTCAGGGCCACCTGAAAAACAAAGTTATTTTTAGATTGGGGACTATTGTTTCGGAGCATAAAAGGGCATCCCTACCATCACTTTCTGCGCCCGCAACGCCTCGTCCTCGTTGCTGGGCTCGAATCTCATTAGATACCGCTCGCCTGGTGACACGCCCTTTTGCCTTATGTACGTGGGGCTGTAGAAGGCCTCGGTTCTTCCCACCTCGTTGCGCTGGCGCAGCAACTTCACCCGAATCTCGCTGCCGGAGCAGGGAATCAACAGGTGGCGCATGAAGGGCTCCTCCGCCTGGCGTATCGTCTGTGGCACCTTGAAGCTGTACACCTGTTTGCCGTGCTGTCCGCCGATCTTGAGCTGCATCAGAGCCTGCTGCTTGAGGGCCAGCGGTTGGGTGCGGTTGAAGTTCACCTGGCTGCTGGCCAGCGGAAATGTGAGGTTCTGGCGCGTCTGATGGATGCCGAACAGGTCCAGTTGGTAGTTGCTCCTGGGCAGAAGTCGACGCAGCATCTGCTGGCGTCTCTTTCCCGTGCACACGATGTGCAGGTTCTGTCGGGGATTCAGACGTCTCTCCCGCAGAGGTGGTGACCCCCAAACCAGGTCCATGGGGTTGCCACCGGAGCAGCTGGCTGGCATGGATCGCTGACCCACGTACGCGGACACGGCCTGGCAGAAGTTGGCAAAGCTCCTCCGTGGAGCGTCCATCGCAAGTCGCTGGATCACCAGGCAATAGTGCATGACGTGGTAGTCAAACTTGCTGAAACGATTCAGGGTAACTCAGGATGAGAAAATACTAAGTACAACAATTGCTGTTAAGGGACTAAATAACACACACCAAAACTAATAAATACCTCATAGACATTAAAAAAAAATGTGGCTATGTTGCTGTATATGTAAATAATAAGTTCATTAATTGCATATAAAAATGTCACGAAAACTTGTATTTACATATTAAAATTAAATTAAACAATAATAAAACTGTTTATATCAACAAACAAATTACCCGTTTTTGTCTAACATTTATTGAGGCTTTAACTTTATGGCAAGGCTTTCAACAACTTTTTATATCAATTTCCATAAAATTTTATATGCGAAATATATACTTACACTCGCGTGCCTATGAGTATAAGCATACATTTCAAATATTAACATTTGTGATACCACAAAGTAATTCAGCTTTTGCTTAAATGGGGTCACATGCACTATATTGGTAACGTTGAAAAAACAATCGTCTTACAAATGCTAAATAACGTAGTAACAGCCAGGTATTTAAAAATATTTACTCCCTTTATTGCATTGTTTATTTGACAGTCAAGTGCTGCCTAATTTGAGGAATTACTCCGCCTATAACTCACCTCCTGTCCCACTTGACGATCATCTCGCGTTTCCGCACGCGGTTCTGGGTGCGGATGGCGATCCGGTGCGCGGCGGTGGCATTGAGCAGCGGCCAGTCGTGCTGCGGATGCTCCGCGAGGGCGTCCACCTTGAGGGCTCCCGAGTGGCGGGCCTGGACAAAGAGGTCGTACTGGCCGCGCAGGGCGCAGGGCAGCACCAGACTGCCCACAGCCACACCTGGACCAGGTGCCACTGCCGCCGGCCGAAGGAGGTTTCCTGCAGAGGTGGTTGGGTTGGGTTGGTTAGGTGGGGGGTGCAGTATTCTGCGTTCTGGGTTCTGAGTTGCAGGCCCAGAGAGGCGGACTTACCTGTCTGATTGTAGTACATCTTGCGGCCCACGGGCGCCGAAAAGCGAATCGTCAGCGGCGTCGAGTCGTTCAGGTTCAGCACAAATCTGCAAAACGAGATGAAGTCGGCTTTGAGGGGCGGAGTAAGTGAGCTGTTAACGCCCTTTGTCAAAAACGATGACACTAAATTATCACACGCAATTTGTTTTGCCGCCTGTCTGGACCGAACTGAACCATATGAGTCAGCGGCTTTTGGCCATACTCTGACCCAAAGGGTCAGTCGGGAGTTGGCCCCAAAACACATATCCAAGATATAAATAGTCAAGGCGAAATTGTAGAAAAAGGTCTAAGATTTACAAAGTAAATAACTAGTAAAGTCAATGAAAAAAACCCTGATTAAAAGAAGATTCAAAGACTATTCAAATCTTTAACTTAAAGTCCTACAAATCTTTGTATGTAAGAGGACACTTTCTTTAGAAATGTAAAATAAAAATAATAATGAAATAAAAAAATACATCAAATAAATTTTTAAAACACACTAAAGTTCTAAAAAATCAAAATAAGTGTTAGTTAGTCTACGTTACATTTGGGATCCCTTCCTAAAACCATTAATTTGTATTAAAGCGCTAAATTGTGAAAACAAATTTATTAATAATCCTGCGATCTTGCCTTTGGAAGTCCTAACATTTGTCGTCCTTTCATTTATCTTTTTTAATGTTTCGAGTTTCTTATAGGCATCAAGAAAGAGTATCAACCTTTTGACTTCTCACTTCCTTTTCGAAACTTTGTTTATCCATCTTCTCGCCGATGCTGTTGCAACTTTGTTGCAGCCAAAGATTAAGTTCAAGTCCCTTGGGCAGTGGCCTTCTTTGCTCAACTTGCTGAGTTTTGTATTGTAATTAAATGCGAAATTTACGAGCAATATTTCTAATGACAAACAGCTAAGACAAATGAGCTCGCCGATACGAAACACCCACATGGATTCGCACACAGATTCGCACACGAGACAGCCGGACGCAAGGATGCGATTTGCAGCAGTTTCCAGCCATTTGCAACCATTTTCAGCCATTTGCAGCGAGGAATGCGAGGAGGATGGCCGTTGCAGCAAATGACTCATTGACTTGGCTTATGGCCGGCCATCTCGAGTTTTATTTTTATGACCGGCTACTTCCGGCCAACGCCATGCCCCATCATCATCGTCATCCCCCGCAAACCGGACAAACAGAAGTTAGTGCGCCATATAGCTATACAGCTATACAAGTACAGCTATATAGTCGTATTTTTGGCCGCCCTGCCAAAAGGTTCGGATTGATGGAGTGTTTTAATGCATTTCGACCATTGTTGGCGGCGGCGCCGATGCGACTGAGCAAATATTTGCTTTAATTTAAGCCTTGCATGTTGCAATGGCGATTGTTTGCTGTTGTTGGGGCCATCCTCGTTGTCGGCACGATGACAGCAGTCAATTATACAAGGCAAACATCGGGCAAAGGCGAGAGTTGAATGCGCTCCTCCGAAATGATTTAATGCACTTCCACCAGTAAGTGTTTAATGGGTTTAAAAGGCTGGGATTATCATATTATTGCGAATTACCAGGGAATTCAGGACTCTCTGATATGGAGAAATCACTTAACAGCAAGGGTTTTTATTTCTAGACATAGTGATTAAAAATTGGAATTTTAAAAACAAATACTATTGAATTAAACATTTTATATTTGATGAATATGTGTAACTCTTAATCATATAATTATATACAATGCATACTAAATTGCTTCATTTAATATTAAAAAAATATTTAATTAATGTTCTTATTTGATTTAATACATTTTATTTAAGTTTAATATGGTTTAAATTTGAATTTAATTTTTAAATGTTAAATTTAAATAACTAAAAACCGCAATGGATAAAAATCTAAGCTGAAAATATTTACTTTGAGTAAAAAATAAGTAGCAGATACATATTTGTTTACCAATGCACTTCTCTAAACTCAGTAAGCTTTCCCATTTTTTTTTTTTTGAAGTTTTTAGCCTTTATGAAGTGATGTACCCAAAGACTTAATGGAAGGGTATTCTTTACATCACATGGCCAACCAAATTCACACCCATCGCAGTTAATTCGCAATTGTGCAACGTGACAGACCCAATAATGTGGTGGAACTATCTTAGTGCCATCGTTTTTCTTCTCCAGCTCTTTGACCTGGCTCAGGGAATAGTGAATCCCTCGAACGAGACGGCCGGCACGGTGATCTTCATGCTGCCCGCCAAGGACTTGGGACCCGATGTGTGGAAGGCCGGAGTGGATTGCCTCGATAGCTTCGCTCAGATCTTCTTCTATCGCAATCCGGTGGAGCGCTTCACCAGAGCCTACAACCTGATGTTGGCCCACGCCTTCAACCTGTCCAGTCCAGCGGATCAGATCCAGGAGGGATTCAGCAAGCGGATCAACGAGGCAGCCACCGATCCCGGGGAGCCGCATCGGCAGGAGCTCTTCCAGATGCGCGTGGTCAGCGATCACAAGGTCAGGGAGAAGACCAAGAATATGGGTGAGCTGATCCTCACGGACAACTATGTGATTGTGGTGGACTCCGTGGAGCGACTGCTCGGCCTGATGGCTCGCTACATCAGCAAGATGCGCTCCTGGAATCCGGGTGCCCGCTTCCTGGTGCTCTTCCACAATCCCGGGATGCGCAATCGTCCTTGGCACGTGGCCTCCCAGATCTTCAACGAGCTGATGAGCAGCTTCTACGTCCATCGAGTGGCCCTGCTGTATGCCAACTCCTCCACGGATTACAACCTGCTCGTGAACGACTACTACAGCAACGTGGACTGCCGGATCCTGAATGTCCAGAGTCTGGGCCAGTGCCACGATGGCCAGCTGTATCCCAGTCCCAGTGCCGTGCACGCCTCCATGCTGGACTACGTTTCGGGCTTCAGTCCCCGGAACTGCACCTTCTTCGTCTGCGCCTCCATCTCGGCTCCCTTCGTCGAGGCCGACTGCATTGTGGGCCTGGAGATGCGCATCCTGGGATTCATGAAAAACCGACTAAGCTTTGATGTGAGCAACTGATATTTTTCAAGAAGACTTTTTATATTTTAATACCTGAACTATTAAATTAAATTTGGAGCTAAATCAAAACTAATTAAAATGCATATTAAACAAATAGGTTCCATTTTTTACCTATGTTCTCAAAATTCAAACATGTTGATGTTAAAACACCTCAATTAGCATTTTTGAATGATTTTATGTTTCACTTAAATTTCATAAATAAAATGTTGTATTCAATGGCCAGATATTTATTTATATTATTATTTAATATTTATTTTTCCTTTCCAACTGCTATTTAAAAAAACTGAAACATTTGTTAGCTTGATCGCTGATGCAAAGATTTTAAAATGGTTAATCTGCATGGACAAATGTGGTTAGTTCTTTAAATGAAGAATAAATAAGGCAATAGAAATGTTGGCTTGCAAGCCTCCTTAAAGATCCTTAGAGGCCACAAAATTACTAATGTTTCTAAGTACTTTTTCCCAGAATAAGGTGATAATTGTTTAATCTTTCAAAGTTTTCATAGCCAAAGATAACCCAATCTTGTAATCATTTCTTTCCCAACCCAGGTAAATCAGACGTGCAGTTGGGAGTCGCGTGGCGAGATGGACAGTGCTGGCAACTGGAACGGCCTGCTGGGAAAGGTGACGGACAACGAGTGCGACTTCATAATCGGCGGCCACTATCCGGACAACGAGGTGGCCGACTTCTTCTGGGGCTCCGATACCTATTTGCAGGATGCGCACACGTGGTACGTCAAGTTGGCCGAAAGGCGACCCGCCTGGCAGGCGATGGTCGGCATATTCGAACCCTTCACCTGGCTGGGCTTCATCCTGATCCTCGTGATCAGCTGGCTGTTCTGGTTTGCCCTGGTCACTGTTCTGCCCGAGCCCAAGTACTACCAGCAGCTGAGTCTCACGGCCATAAATGCACTGGCTGTTTCCATATCGATAGCCGTTCAAGAGCGGCCCGTTTGCGAGGCCACGAGGATGTTCTTCATGGCCCTAACACTGTACGGCCTGAATGTGGTGGCCACCTACACTTCGAAGATGATAGCCACCTTTCAGGATCCCGGCTACCTCCAACAACTGGACGAATTGACGGAGGTGCTGGCCGCAGGGATTCCCTATGGCGGCCACGAAGAAAATCGCGATTGGTTCGAGAACGAGGACGACATGTGGATCTTCAATGGGTACAACACCTCTCCGGAGTTCATTCCGCAAACGGAAAACCTAAAGGCGGTGAAGCATGGCCACCGGTGCATCCTGAGCAACCGGATGTACACGATGCAGAGTGCCCTGGCCGATGACCTATACGCCTTTCCGCACAACGTCTTCAGCAGTCCACTGCAGATGATCATGAAGGCGGGTTTCCCCTTTCTCTTTGAGATCAACAGCATCATTCGACTGATGCGCGATGTGGGCATCTTCCACAAGATCGATGCGGACTTCAGGTACAACAACACGTATCTGAACCGGATCAACAAGATGCGGCCGCACTTCGCGGACACGGCCATTGTCCTGACCACGGAGCATCTGAAGGGACCCTTTGGCATCCTGGTGGTGGGCGTCTTCTGCGCCGCCCTCACATTTCTCGGCGAGCTAATGACCCGGCATTGGCGCTGCCAGCTGGTCACCCAAAGGAGCAGGCAGAGGAAGAAAAAGAGAAGAACGAGGAGGATGAGGAGGAAGCAGCCAAAGGATGGCCACTGGCAGCGCCAAGTTCAAGTGGCTCCAGTCGTACGATTTACGCCAGTCAAACGACGCAAAGTTTTCTAGGGACAAACAAGTCAAAAGTAAACTAACCCAAACTAACTCCCCTGCTGGCTGCGATAAAATTGACTCAATTCACATAAATTTGCAATTGAGAGACACTGACACTGACTTCATCCTCCATCCTCCATCCGCCATCCGCCATCCAGTGTCTGGTTGTCTCGTCTGGTCTAGGGTCTATACTCCATAGTCTATGGTCTGAGGTCTGAGGTCTGAAGTCTGGTCCGTGCCGTTCGGGTCGCTTCTGTTACTTTTCGCGCGAAATACTTAAAATCAGAGACAAAATTCTATTTTTGCAAGCAACAACCGATGGCGGGGAGACTGAGACAAAACACCCCTCGCCCTCCGCCCCCCTGTCGCCCCCAAAATTGACAATCAGCCTCAGCTTTCCCAGCTGCAGTGCAGTCGGAAAATTCGGAGCGAAAAACACAGATAAAGAACGAGTTAAGCAGATATCCCTATAAGTGGCGCATTCGCTGATTGCACAGTCGCCTTTTCGCTTAGCAAGTTACTTTACTTTGCTTTACTTAACTGCAGTGCAGTGCAGTGCAGTGCAGCCAAACAAATATCGCGCCAATATCAGATGGCACAAGTTTCGATTCGAAAATATCGCAAATGGAATTGGAAGTAGCTGCAAGGAGTAGGGACAACTTTTACAAAATTATGTGAGTTACAGCATATAAATTCGGTAATTTTCTTGGGATTACTTTTCAATCGGTAGTCGATTTCTAGGGGACACAAAATGGCTAGTTCTTTTTTATAATCCAGCTTAATGCAACAATATTTAAAAGTAAGTGAAGCAAATTAGTTTGGACTATTTTCAATTAAATTGATCTTTTATCTTTTTACAAATGTGTTTTATTTATTTATTTATTTTTCGGTAAATTTGAAGTAATTTACGTCTATACTGCATTACAAATATATAATAATAATATACACTGTTTAAAGAGTTTAGATACATATTATCCAAAAGGTTAAAGAATACAAATTCCAAAAACGCTTATAAAATACAAGATAAATATGCTACATAAATCAAAATAAATAGGCACTTTATTTGGTTTTCCAAAATCTATAATTCATGCGGCAATATACTTTAAGAATTCAAATTGAAACCTTGAGATATTAGATATTCCATAAATCAGAATTCCATGGAATTGTTTTGCCTCCTGCCACTTGTTGCGGCAATTTATCATCTGATTTCATTAATGGATCTTATGGCTGACATTGAGTGCCGGGGATTACTCATCCAGAGGCGGTGAAGTCAAGTGTAAATAGAGCTCACCCACTCACCCACTCACCCATTCACCCACTCACCCACTCAGCCATTCGCCCACTTCCCGACTCGCATTTCACTTATGATCCTGTGTTGTCGACGAAGAACATAACAATTATTTGATATCTCTATTATGCCCCGGCACACATTGATTTTGATTCTGTGAGTGATTCACGTCGAGAACAATGCGAACCAAAGACACACTCAATTACTCACACCGAAATGGGCACAGTGAGCACTTAGTGTCTGTAATTTGAAAATTGCTTTTCCCTTCCTCTATTTTTTTGCTATTTATTTTTTTTTTTTTTTTTTTTTGGGAAATTTTAGACTATTGAACTGTGGCGTTGATGCGTCGTCTTGCTGCGAACTCGTCTGACTAAGAGCGACGCCCCTCTGTCTGTTCTGTTTGGTTTGGTTTTGGTTTTGGTTTTGGTGTGGTTTATGTCGATTCCGATTCTTATTCTTATTTCTTATTCCGATTCCCATTCCTCAGCCGCAGACGGACTCAGTCTCGCCCGAGTATTTTCGTACTCAGTCAAGTGCTATAAATACTATACCCACTACTCTCGTAGGAGATCTTTTCTGGCGGCGCAAAATAATGACGACGATGTTGAGTTTGATGTTGATGTTGATGCTGATGCTGTTGCTGAGTTGATGCTGATGCTGATGATGAGGCATTGGTCATTGTGCGAAATTTTGATGCGCTGCAAGGTCTGCGTAATTTCAGTTCAAAACCAAAAACAAAATATAAAAAATACAAAAAACAAAATAAAAACAAGCAACAAAAAACAAAAGGAACAAAAAACGATACACACACACGGACAAAGAATTATGTTTCGTTTCATTTTATGGCAATTTGTTGTTGCCGCTGTTTGCTATGTGCTGTTGTTGTGGCTCCTTTGATGCGCTTACAAATAAATAGTTTCACGCCATAAAGCCCGGAGAAGGGGGCGGCGTGGGCGGGTTTTTGCCGAGTGTCGGGCCGGGCAATAAAAGTTGTTTACACCGCCTGAGCCTGCGGCGCACATAAAAATGCAACGCCAACAACAATCAAACAACAGCATCAACATATTAACAACATTCTGCCTTCATTCCCTACACAAATCGGTTGGGCAGGCCCATATACTGCAGGGATTGAGTATGTGACATTGCTCAAGCTGTGTTTAGTATCTACAAATTGGTTCTAAGCAAAAACACTTTCGTCTAAATTGACTAATATTATTAGAAATAATTTATAAAATTTTAAATTTACAAGACGAAATAAAGAAAATAAATTAAGTTGATGATACGCACAAACAGAATTAAAAAAACTATTGTTTGCTATTTATTTAAAGCAAAACTAACAATTTTGTTTTCAATTTTCAAACATTTTCTTTTACTTTTCTATTTTATTAAGTATTATATTATATATTAACCTTTTATTAAGAAGTTATAAGTCAAACAAAATTGTAATTTAAGTTTACAATAATTATGTTCTATACTTCAGTTAAAATTTAAACTGAAAAGTTGAACTTGGTAATTTCTTATACATGATATCATAAAATATTACAGAAAATCAATCATAGTCAAGTACCGAGAATATTCATTCTTTTTTTACTTTTATTTTTAAAAGCTTTGGGTAATTGTGATTTAAAAACATAACAAGTAAAACAAATTTTATTTTTATACAGAAAGTACAATATATAGAAACCCTTGTAATTAAAACTTTATTTTATTCTGTATTTTCGGTAATTTAAAACTAAATTTTTTTGGCCTCATCACTTTTTCAATGTAAATCATTAAAACTTCCATCTTGAAGGGAATTTCCTTAAAGTTAAATTTGTTTCAAATCTATTATAAGAGGTATACTCTAAGTCGAGTGCATTCCTTGCTAGGTGGCCACACAATCACCTTTCCGCCAGTTTTGGGGTTTGTTTTGATTTCAGGCCACTGACTGGATGCCCGGGTTGGGATGACTGGCTGCCGCTGCCACAACCAAACTACAACCGAAATCAGCCAAGCAGCGAGTGCCACAGGTGGCCGCAACGCAAGTGGCATATAGGCAACCGCGTCGAGAATGATCGACTTGCGACTTGCGACTGCAGATTCGAATGTGAATGCGAATCGGGAATTGTGAGTTGTGAATTGGGAACTGGGAACGGGAGCGCATATTGCGCCGTCGAATTAAGTCGTTAAATTAATATTTATGATTTGTTTGTGCAAAAATATTAACGCTCGCCTCTTGATTGGCGTATGGAAGGATACGCACGGGGCCACTGGGAATGAAATTAAGAATGGGAATGGCAATTGGGAATGAGAATGAGAATGGGAATGGCTTGCTGATTCTAGCAAAACGCTTAATGGCTGCACGCGCCATAAACGCGATTTTTGCTTCAGCTTCAGCTTGTTTGGCAGTGCCACCAACTCGCTCCTTTTCACACGCTCAGCAAACTGGGCAACTCGAGCCGAACGTCACGTACTCTGGTTCTGCATCTCGGATCTCGAATCTCGCAACTCGGATCTCCAGAATCAAGAAGCCCCCTCGAGCTGGTCACTCGATCTTCAGTTGGGCAATTGGAGCACTTTTGCTGGGTCGCGCGACTCTAATACACACACTACACTTCCAAACTCGAGAAAAAAACCAAGAAAACATGGAAAAAGCGAACCGAAAAAGGAGTTGACGACAAACCACGACATTAATTTGAATGTTTGCTGGCATTCTGTGGCAAATGATCAAGTGTTATACGAGTCGAGGGCTTCCAGTTTCCCTGCTCCACACACAAACACAAAAACAAAAACCAAACGCCCGCAATGGTTCGCACGTTCACTGGAGAAGATGAAAACTGAAATCCCCGAGGCCGGAGTCCAGAGTCCAGAGCCTAAGCGAAAACGTGACGGGCCTCTTTTGACCCAGGCCCAAGCTGCGGCCCAACGGAAACCAATGAAAATCGAAAAAAAAACAGAACGTTACTCATACGCCACGTGCAACGCAGCGGGTACAGTGGTGCCGAGAAATGCTGAAATCGGCCATTGTTGATAGGAATTTCTCAATGGGAAATATCAAAAGGGCTCTGAAAAATGTAATTCAAATAAAGGTGTGGGAGGAATTTTAATTATATGCTTTAAAAGCAAACGTATATTTGAGCAAATGGCAATTATTGACCGTAGAATCTGTAGAGATTTCTGGCTTACACCAAAAGTGTATACATTTTCTGCCTAAATATATGCTTATGAAATAAAACAAACCTAAATCTTATTATATCTAGTCATCAGTAAAATTATAACCAAAAATTTGAAAGTTTATTTACTTCGTATTGCAATGCATTTATTTAAATATGAGTATATTAATATCATCACTTTAAAAAAAGTACTATAGGTTATTTTAAAGCAACGCACTAAGTTTTTATTTATTATTGGCTTTCAATGTAGTCATTTCACGAAATTTAGAAGACTTCAATTCAGTGGATTTACCCATCAAAGCTAGCCCCGAACTTCCAAAATCGAATTAGAGGCTATAAAATGGTTGTTCCTTTTAACCTCCCCTAAAAAACTGATAGCTCAAAGTGGAACATTTGCCGTAATTTAAGAAGTTCTGGTATATAATCTGATGCCGAAGCCAGTGTGCGATGTGTGGCGGCAGCTGTAAGGGCCACAAAAGCTCGCACACTAGACAACAAAAAAAAGAAGTAGAAGAAGCGCTCCGAAAAACATAGAAACACACACATGCACACACTTATGGAGAACTGTAAAAAATCTGGCTGTGGATAGGTTTTTTGTTTGGCCAGCCACACGTCGTGGTTATAAATTATTTTTGTTGTTGCCCCAGGCTTCTTTTCATCTGCTGCTGCCGCAGAAGAAGAGAGCGAGGCGCCCCTAAGTTTGGCTCTGTCCTGGCCATCTTTCGTATTTGTTTGGCCGTAATTTGATTTGTGATTTGTGTGGCAGGCGGCGTCGCCATCGCACTTAGCCGTATTGCCGCCCCGTACTCACCGCTTCCTCTGCCGCTCCGCCAGTGCGATGTGCACGGGCACGTCCACGTAGAGGTCCTCCAGGTCGTCTATATCCTTCAGCATCTTGCGGTACCGCTGCAGCGAAGGACACTTCTGCGGCGCCACCGGCGTCGCCTGGACCGCCGGAGATTCGGAATCGCGATCGGGAATTAGAGGCGGTTGCAGCAGCTCCGTAGAGTCCAGAATGATGCGATTGCTGGCCAGCGGCAAGTGGGAGATCTCCGCCAGGAGCGACGGGCTGAGCAGGAGCAGCAGCAGTAGCTCCACTCCTGACAACATGGTTTTCCCTTTTTGTTCACTTTCTGTTCAACTACTCACTTGTTTAGTTCTTTTGATTGCTTCTCAAACTTTGGCTAGGTAAGACAATCTTTGAGTGCGTGTTTTGTTACTTGATTGCCCTAAAGTGGTAGCTGCTTTTTTAATAAATAAATGGTTTTTTATTGGGGTACTTTGCTCTAAAATTATGACTATAACTTGATACGTTCATTTCAGTTAATTCAATTTAGTTCTTGCCGAGCATGTTCATTAAGTGGTGGAAAATTTGATTGAACACTAAAATGTTTCAAATTGATTTACTCAATTTGTTTTAATTGAAGAGCATTTGATCATAAAAATCTACTCTTTTTCTAAAATTTTTAACTAAAACCTAGTTGTAGTACAAATTTAATTTTTAATTTAGTTCTGGCCTTTGCTCGTTTTAGTTCCGTTTTAATTATTTCGGTTTTAAAAAGGTGCAGCAATTTTTAAAGCTTTTTCATTTTACTTAATTAATTGAGCTAAGTGATCTTGCTAGCTTCTTTTAGAACAACATTAAATAAACTCTTAAATGTATTTTTTTGTTAGCAAGGACACCCAGAAACTTTTTAAGCCGATGGCTCGAATGGTAGCAAATTAAACTTGCCAAGTTTTAATTTACTTGGCTAGTTTCATTTTGTCTTCTTTTGAAATTCTCTGGCTTAAAATTCCACTCTATAACTTTATTAGTTCTTTTATACATTGGCTAAGATAGAAAACGTGAAGCTTCTGAAGGTCCTGTCTGTTCTGAAAAAAACAGTGTTTCGGTTCTAATCCGCAAATCCGAAAATCCGAAAATCCCGAAATACGAAGCCTTCGCAACGTCGTATCCTCCCCCTCGTTTCGTCTCCTGATTTTCTGTCCTCCGCACAATTAAGGCCTGTCAAACCTTTGACACACGTCGCCTGCTGTCCCTGCCCCCCACCCCCCAAAAAAAATACCACTCTTCCGCCCACTTTTCTTTTTTCAACGGCAACAACTTCTTTGGCCTGCCGTAATTTTGTCAAAAAAAAAAAGAAAAGAAAAAGAAAATATTTTTCTTTTGGGGGAGTAACGCAACGCTGTGCGTCGGCTTTTTGTTCTTCGGTGCTTTTTGTTCCCCTTGATTCCTCGCTTGTTTTTTGGGGGGGCGCCCAATTAATTGGGGGCTGCAGTGAATCGATTCTCGGAACTGTTAGATTTGCTAATTGCGCCTGCCCGCTGACCTTTCCCTCGGGCTCCCCTTTTAATTAAAGTTCTGCGTATTTGCGTGTGCCGCAACAATTGGCCAAGGGGGCGTGGCAAAAGGGCGGAGGGGGGCAGAGAGGCGGGGCGGTGCTGAAACACCACCTGTGGCTGAACACGAGCAATTAGCCGATGGCCCACGCACGCACGAGCACTCTTACTTTTTGGCAAGAAAAACAACACTTTTCATAAATCCGTATACGTATTCGTATTTTGATTTGTGGTCACACGCATAGTTGGGATACTTTTAGCGGGCTTTTTGCCGGGTTTCCTCCGGCCACCCGTACGTATTTTCCACTCGGAGCACACGCGACACGTTTCCCCCGGGTACGGAAGTTTGCTTCTTGGCCGCCGTTTCCGTCGGCGCTCGTCGTATGTTCTACGTCGTCCGTTTGCCTTGACGTGCAAACGCAAAATGCCCGAGAGTCGTGCGCAAAGAAAGCCAAAAAGCCCGAGCGTCGAGAGCAAGAAGCGGCTGCGCCGTCGACGTCGACGGAGGCAGCGGCGCAAGCAGCGGCAGCGACGCCGGCAGACGCCAAAGGAACGAAGAAGGCCCCAACAAAGTCCCGAAGACGGCCCGAAGTCTACCCCACGCACACACACACACAGGAAGACCAAAAAAATGCTGAAAAAACGTTGAAATCGAATGCCTCGACTTTCAGATACCCGCTAATCACAGTCTGATTCAAAATATATTGCATACTTACAGGTGTTTAGTGTCATATAATTTTAAGCAACTAAATATAATTATATTAATGGATTTTTATCAAATGAAGAAATCCTTTGACATAACTAACCTTTTTGCAATATTTAAAGTGTTTTTTTTTTTGTAGACGTTATGACTTTAAGATACCCAATGATATTAAAATGTATTGCATACTTACCTATAAAGTCCCACCATTTCAAAAAGTAATAATTTTTTAGTAACTGTATGGTAAGGAGATGAATCTTTGGCAATACAATCTTTACTTGTATCAAATTATCTGTTTGTGGTTTAGGATAGCATTTTGAATAACTAAATGTTGCAATTACAAATATATTTCCAAAATATCTACCTCTTAAATTGCATAATATATTGCAAATAATTTATTATATTAAAATATTTTTGTGTATGTCACAAATATTTATCACATATATATAAGACATATTTAAAAGCCTCTAGTTCTTATAATTCCAGATTTTTACAAATAACAGAAATTTCATTAATAGAGGCATTAAATTCATTCTGTACTCAATAAGTTTCAGTACCCTGCCATTTCCCTGTTACAAACGCATCCCCGAACACAGTATACCCCATTCGGTGTACGAGCAACGGGTGCAAAAATAAGAAAAACAATACATACACTTTTTGCTCTCCCTTAATTAATGCCTTTGGTTTGGGCCTGCCCCATTGATGCCTTGTGTTTTGTTTTTTTTTTTTTTGTCGCGCCATCATTTTCGATTTTTGAATTTCGTTTTCAATGAAAACCAGACCAGAACAGAACAGGCGAAGAACAAGAGCCCAGAATCAGTGGAATAACATGATGTGCGTTGATTTTTTATGTGCCGCACGTGACTTTCGGTGGAAACATTGAGCGCCACTCGGCCGCGTCTTGGTAACAACCCCCCTCGAAAATCGCAAAAGGCAAATGGGATTGGGGATGGGGGTGGGGATGGGGTTCCCCCGTAAGCCATCCCATCCGCATGCAAAGTGCCCCCACATGAAATCGGAGCTGGCCGAAACACGGAAGATAAACATTAGATCCGAGTGGCGGAGGCGGAGGCGACGGAGTGGATGCAACATGCGATGGGGCGATGCCTTGGAAACGCTTTGACAGGCGAGTGTTTGCCGATTCGAGTGCCTGTGCAGCTGGGCCAGCGTATTACATGCATCCCAAGTGATTAAAGCCATTTCCGAACAGCGGTCGCAGCTGTAACACTTACCAAGCCAGCACTAAAACTTAGGAGATTAAATCGTTAATTGCTACTAGGCGGTGGCTTGAACCCAATAGCTACGGGAAGGACAAAATAAACTTTCACCCTTAAGGAAAAAAAAAGAGTAAATATATAAATAAATAAAAAAAATATTTATTAAGAATTTTCTGAGAGCATAACATTTATATTTATAATTACTTGTGTTTATTACTTTTACACTTTTTATTTTTTGTATCTTGTAGTTTTTTGATTTCAGCTTTTTTAATTCATTTTGGATAAACATATCTTCAAATGTTATGTTTGTATGAGCATTCCAACCATTTTTTATTGATTTTATAGCTTTAAAAATGGACTAGCCGATGTGCTATTAATAATAAACATATATCTTGTCAAGGTCAAAAACCATTTTAAAATTGCCGCTAATGCTGCAATTTTTTTTATATGAGTGACTATTAATCTTCACACAAAAACTTTTATTTTTATTTATCAAACCTCAATCGTTTTTTCTGTTTTGAAATTTAAGATGTTACGGAACCGAAACCTCCGAAATGCCAGCTCGAAATTGTTATGAAATTTTCGCTGGCATTATTATGCATTTTGCTGATATAAACAAATTAGTTTCTGCTGTGCTTTACCTTTTTCCCTGCTGACTTCCAAACGATCCGGCTGGCTTCACCTGTGCCGTGTCGCCGTGTGGCTGTGTGTGAGTGAATTGGGTGGGTTTTCCCGGAATTCTGACAGCCAGCAAAGCGAGTGAAAAAAAGCAAAGTTAAACAACATTTTTGCCCTGTGACAGGAAGGAAATGAGTTGCGTCTGGCCGTAGCGTAGCAACAAATTAACAGCAAATTAGTTAGAAAAGCAGCCAGCAGTTTTAGTGACTTAATCAGCGGCAGCTTGCAACTGGAGGGGATGGTGATGCGGGGGGCAGGATGGCAGGATGGCAACCTTGGAGGCGCCCCTGCAGCGCGTTTCTCAAGGGTCTGCCTTCCCGATCCCCCCCTGCATCCACATCCATATCCCCCGCCCCAAGTTCCAATCTCATGCATAATGCAGGCCGCTGCCCGCCTGTCAAAGGGACTCTGTCCAGAGTAGTCTGTCCGTTCCCCCAACCTCCAGATCTCCATGACGCTGATGGTGGCCCCGAGTCGGCGTTGCATTTTCAACAAATTAATTATTGGCGAGGAGGTGGAACAAGTCACTTAGCTGCCGAGTTGAAAATACCCCTGGTCCAAGGCGATCGAACGATAATTTGGCAGCAACATAAGGCTGGAATACTCTTATTTATTTAATAATCAATTACACAGATAACTAAATTTCTAATATCAGAGTAAGGCAAATATTTTGTTCAATTATCTCCTTTTAATTGAGTTTATGCCTTCATAAAAATTCAATCATTTATTCCTCTCTTTTGACCAGCTGTAAAAAAAACTGGAAAAATGTTTGATTGATTTTCCTTAAATTGCTGACATACCAGTAAATGCCGCGTGAATCCAATTGAGTGCATTTTGCTGTTGACACAATACTTCAGCAGCTCCATTTGTGTAACGATAGAGTCAACATCAACACGCTGCTCCCGACAATCGATCAGCGATTTGCGACTGCCAAACTGGGGGAACTTGGTAACATTGCCGCCGCCACTGGGAACATCCTGGCATATTGGTATTCTGGCGTTCTGGCATTCTGGCATTCAGCACCATTGACTGAACTTTTTGGTACAACATTTTTGCCTCACACTCGCACTTCATCAACGCAAAATGATTGGCATGCCAACGTCAGCCGACTGAGCCAGAAGCTATAGCCCAAGCGGTAGCTATATAGCTGAAAACTCAATACTGAAGTTGAAGAGTAGGGGAACTGCTGGAATGGCAACAATAAATGCGGCAACGTTGGCGGCGAAAGCCTCCGACATGTGTAAAGGAATCGTTTAAAATAAATGACAGGCGAGCCCCCGTTTCCCGGAGCCCCCCGTCCCCCGCCTCTCCCCCCTTTCGCCCAACATGTCCAAAAAAAAACCCTACTCCCGCAAAGAGTCCCCTGGCTGCATAATTACCCCCAGAGCAGAGCACACGGCAGATCACAATAATCAATACGGCCAAGGAGCAGGAGGAGCAGGAGGAGCTGGAGGAGCTGGAGGAGCAGGAGGAGCAGGAGGAGTAGAGCGGACCTGGCCGAGTTTTTGTTGTTGTGCTCCTCCTTCTCGAGGAACTGGCGTGTGTGGTCCGGCTTTTCGCTTTTTACATGTTTTCGGTGGCTTTGGCTTCGTTTGAACTTGGGCGCTACTCGCTGCCTGGGAGCTAGATTATTTGTTTACACGCATCCGCAAATCGAACCTCTAGGGATGGACACTAAATTGCTAATGCGTGGGCTTGATGCGCAAAAAATACAAAGCTATAGCTAAAAGTTATAGTGAAGCTCTGTCAAGACAATACCACTTCTTAGAGTTTGTTTAGTAAGAAATATGTATATAAAATAAATGAAGCAAATTTTCACGTCACTAATTACATTTGAAAATCTTTATCTAAAGAAAATAATCAATCAATATCAATATCAAGAATCAACAATCAAATAATATGCAAAACATATCGTTTGAGCCTAAAATGAATTTTTGGCTTAAAGTATAGAGAATAATTTTATTGGTTTTTTAAACAAAAGATTACATGCATATTAATTAAATATTTGTTCGATATTGAAAATAATATTAAACAAGGACATCAAACTGAAGATTGGGAAAAAACTTTTAAAAGAACAATACCACGGTCCATAAAAATCTAAGCAAATTTTATATTTAATACACCAATGGGTGAAGCATGGTGAGTAAATACAGCTCATAAAAAGAACCTCTTTTACTCCAGATTGACTACTCGTTATTAAAAACTTGTAATGATAAAAAGATGAATTTGAACTACTAAGTGAAAATGCGAACCTCAATCCATCCATCGCTTAGTGAATTATCATGCCAACTTTCAGGCAGCAAAGTGAAAAAAAGGAGACGCTCAAGTTTTTAGCACCTTACAACACCTTTGAATGGAAAACTTTGCCGCGGGCATAGGAAGGCTCAAACACCTGGATCTTTGGCTTGGACAAATTGCTGCCACGCCCCCTCCGTCCACACCCCGCAAAGCTGATTGACAACAAGGGCGGGGGCGTGGCTTGGGTGAAATCAAAAACTTGCAAAACTTTCGGCTTATCCCTTATGCCCAAGTGACAGCCCAGTGAAAATTGTCAACTTGGCACGCATTTTATTAAATGAAAGAATTTTCTTTAGCTACAGTTGGTCGGGAAAAAAAGGGAGCGGGATGGGGGGCAGGGAGAAAATGTGAGGCTGCTGTTTCTGCTGTCAAACTTACGCAAAACAAATCGGAAAAGGCCAACTCACACAACTCGCACAGGGAAAATAAAAGAAAAGAGAGCGTTTTCTCTTCGCCTCCTGCCTCCAGCGACAAAGTGGAAATTTTTTAATTGCATTTTTGCCAACTGTCGCAGC